ATGCGTACCACGAATATTAATATATCTACCTTTTCAGAAAGTTGCTCACCAATAAAACAGTATACAAATATATTGAAAGTGAATGATATCACTAAAATACAATACGTACAAGTGGCTACGGCATTGCTGGCCTCCCATTCCTGTATAGAGAAATAAAATATATTAATAATTTTAGTAAAATATATATATTATATTTCACATCTCAAACATATATATATTTTACTTAATGATTTTTACATACCATAATTAAGCAATATATCATGAGGCATATTATGGAAGTACATGCCATAAGTTCTACGAAACTCGAGAAATGTACAACGCCTTGCACCATATCTAAAAAACTGAAAGCCATTGTATGACAAATGTAAGTCTTGTTCTCCGAAAATAATTAATTATCCATCATATTGACGTATATTTCAATTAGTACGATCAAAAAATTGATTGTACTAAAATACTATATGATATGCCATTTCAATTGATATAATAATAACAAATATTAATGCTTCAAATAAAATATAGCTACTAACATAATTGAGATCAAAGGATTATTACTTTCGTATTTTTATTTGATGTTGTACGATAACAGATAATTTCTTGTTCACATGCTCAAGCTCATGTTTGACCGTCAAATTGTTCATTAGTACCATTAAGATGTCTAATTGCGCGACGATATGCATCGTGAAGAGCGCCGCAATGCCACAACCTGCCACTGTGATCGTATACCTGAGGAAACCCGTCAAACACTGTACGAAGAACACAATCTCGTAAGCCGGACTGATCTGTGGATCGAACACTACATAGTAAGCAGGACACGGCAAAGGTCTAATTGTAATATTCTGAGCGGTGACAATCTTCCCTCTTGATAACGGTATGGCTGTTCGATATGTCATACCGGCGCCATACATAAATATACCACACAAGATCAACAAACGTCTGCCAGTTCTCGCGTGAAAAAGCATCGTGTTGCGCGCATTCGAACTAGTAACACTTTGAAAATCTTTCTCCACACACGCCAAGCAATCCTTCATTTGATTCTCCACGTACAACATATTGCTATACTTGAAAATCGACACAATCGTGAATAACACAAGGCCTATAATCTTAATTCTCGCGCGTGTCTCCTTCTGCACCACGAATATATAAAGGAGCATAGAAATTAGATCGCAACAAAGGATAAAGTAGCATCCGAAAAGCAGTACAATCTTCTTCAGCTTCTGCAGAAACCAAAAGTTCGTTTGCGTGCCCGGCCAAAGTCCCAATAGAGAGAAAACAATTCGATTCAACTTGCATGTGTAGTTTATGTCGCGCTCGTAGTCCTCATTGATAAACATAGTGTCAGATTTGAAATTTTATAATTGGACTTCCGAAACATAAAACGTAACGTGTGACAAGACGATCACCGTTTCTTCTTCTTGTCTGTTCGCAGGAGCCGCCTTCCATTTCTAGCAGAGTTTGGTAGCCGCGCGCTTGCGTGTTAGTACAATTGAAAGGACAGGTCATGCAAATCGTTAACAATGCACGCATGGAAACTTTGATGGAAATCTTGCAGGCTAGTCTATTTTTGAGATATGCAAGAAGAAAGTTTTCCTAACTTCATTTTAAATATTGAACAAGTTGAAACCCCTCGAGGAAAGGTTGATATGGTATTGAAGCCCAACGGCCATTGACTTTAAACAGAATGTTAACCTTATAAACGTGACTTCTATATACATTAAAGAAAAAGGTGATTAACTATTTCATTTTTGAGGAATACTATAAAATGTACGCGTAGAAGTACTTTTAGGTAATAAATAAAATGCAAATAAATTTTTTTCTATGGAAGGGCAAATGCTTGCAACTATAGTTTGACGTCCTTTTGTTATGCAGAGGGGAAATTTTCCTGCTAGATAGAGAAATCACGAATGGGTTGAGCAGAGAAACGTTTTGCAGAGAAAAATTATCCCTAATAATAAGTGTATAAGTCTTGGTCTTTGACTTGGCAGAAAACTAATATAATTCTATATTAAAGTGTTTTTTAAACAATGTGAAAAATAAATAGTAATTTTATAACTGAATAAGAAGAAAACCTGAAAGTAATGAATTCAAAAATGCTTATCTAACTTTGATATCGATATGATATATTATTCTGATTAGCCGCAAAACAACAGGTTTAATAACAAAAGAGAGGAGCTTTGATATTTAAAAGCAATACTTTTGATATCTAAAATGAAGATAGTATGATATAGAGCAAAATGATGATTTTTTGGTGTGACTACCAAATAAAGTTATCAAAGGGAGATCTCGTTGGTTGATTGTGACCAGTGAAAGCACTTCAGTGAAAGAATTGTGCACGCACTGAATAATCCTTCAGTATTTATTTCAAACGTACGCAGGAAATCTTCTTGTCTTGTGCAAACTATTCTTTGCTTCCAGTTAAAATGGTACGAAATTCTCTTTCCTTTTTGCGCAAATAAACTTGACTTGGTTTCATTTTATGAAAAATACTGCTTTAGCCAGAAATAAAATCCAGGCCGCCTCACTTGTAGGAAAGAACACCGTATTTAACTTTCGATGTTTAATTGCGTTTACTTCAATACATTACATACTTAATAATTCCTTTAATTCTACTCTTAGTTATCCGTGAGTAAATATATATAATTCAATCAACAACTGATCGAAGGAGATTTAAATACCCCAGGGCTGTTTTAACAACCTAAAATATAATATACTTAATTGTTAATTGTTTCTCCGTTTCCCCTCAAAAAATACACTATGAAATGAAAAGCATATGAAAGCTTTCAAATATACTTGTATCAAAGAATTTGCATATATTTTATATCAAAATAGGAACCTATTCTTTTTGAGCAAGAATGTTACTTACAGACCCAAATGTCCTAAACGATAATTCCACGAAATTGCCTGCTTTAAGCTTCATTGGCTTATTAGATATAAGCATGATTAAAATTAGTGCCCGCGCATTTGCATTCGGGAGAAGATGCCAATCTAACGTACATGCCGTCAAAGCCACTTGTTCCTCCTAGTTTCGTTAATAAATAACACAATAATATTTGAAGAAGAACAATCGTTGTATAATTGTGGCATTATTATCATCGCAAAGAATGAGTGAGAGTACATCACGAAAATTAATATATTTATGTACCTTTTCAGAAAGCTGCTCACCAATAAAACAATATACAAATATATTGAAAGTCAATGATATGACTATAATAAAATATGTACACATGGCTACAGTATTGCTGGCCTCCCATTCCTTCATAGAAAAATAAAATGTATTAATAATTGTAGTAATATATATACTCTCATATTTCTTTGATGATTTTAACATACCATTATAACATAATATATTATAAGGCATAACATGGAAGTACACGTCGTGACTTCAATTAGACTCGAATATTGTATAACGCCTTGTACCATATGCAACAAACTGGAAGCCATCGTAAGACAAATGTAAGTCTTGTTTCCCGAGATCGGATATACTTCGGATATATGAACAATCGAGTATATTTCACAAAGTATTCAACATATCATACAAAAGCACCATATGATGTGCCTCCAGCTGATACGACAATAACAACAAATATATTTAAATAAGATGCAAATATTAACACAATCGAGATCAAATGCGCGTATTGATGCATGCAAAAACAAACAAATGTTACTTTCGCGTTTTTATTTGATGCTCCACGATGACAGATAATTTTCTGTTCACATCCTCATCTTCGTGCTCGTTCGTTAAGTTGTTCATTAGTGCCATCAAGATGTCCAGTTGCGCGACGATGTGCATCGTGAAGAGCGCCGCGACACCGCAAGCTGCCACTGTGATCGTGTACTTGAAGAGACCCGTGAAGCACTGTACGAAGAACACAATCTCATAAGTCGGACTGATCTGCGGATCGAACACTACATAGTAAGCAGGACTCGGTAAAGGTCGAATCGTAATGTTCTGAGCAGTGACAATCTTTCCTCTTGACAACGGTATAAGTGTTCGATACGTCATCCCGGCGCCATACATGAATATACTGCACAGAATGAACAAACGTCTACCAGTTCGCACGTGGAAGAGCATCGTGTTGCGGGCAGTCGGACTGGTAACACTTTGAAAATCTTTCTCCACACGCGCCATGCAACTCCTCATTTGATTCTTTATATACAACAGATTGCTGTATTTAAGAATAGACACTATCGTAAATAACAAAGTGGCCATAACTTTAATCCTCGCGCGAGTCCCTTTCAACACCATAAATATGTAGAGAAGCATAGACGTTAGTTCGAAAGAGAGAAGAACAAAGAAACCAAAGATCAGCACGGTCTCCTTCGTTTTCTGCAGAATCCAAAAATTCGTGTTCGTGTACGGCCAGATTCCTAATAAACGAAGAACAAATCGATTCAATTCGTATGTATAGTTAATGTCACGTTCGTAATTTTTATTGTTATACATTGTGAAATTTCTTCAACTTGAGATTCTATATCGCTACTTTCGAGTTTGTGAAGTATAAAACGCAACGTGAGTAGACAATGACTACATTCTCTTCTTCGCTTTGCCTGTCCACTTCGAGCAGGATTCGATATCCGCGCGCGCTTGCGTGTTGCAACGATGGAAATGACAGGTAAAACTAATCATTAACAATATATGCGTGGCAATCTTCGCTAGCTAGCCTATTTTTGAGTTATACAAGAAGAAAGTTCTTCTGGCTACATTTCAAATATTGAACAAGTTAAAGTTCTATGAGGAAAGGTTTTTACTGATACCGCGCCGAGATATCAAACGGCCATTGACTTCGAACAGAATATCGACCTTACAAACACGATTTGTATATGCGTTAAGGGAAAGATGGGTAAATATATATCTTTTGAAAAATATTATAAAATGTAGACGTATTAATATTTCTGTGAATAATATATTAAAATCAGATATATTTTTCTATGAAAAAGGTGTTCTTCACAACTTTAAATTGTCTTTTCTTCATTAAATGTAGGAGACATTTACGTACTGGGTAAAACAGCTGCGATTCGTTTCACGTTCTGCAAAAAGATAATAACAGTAAACGAGATTCCGTCTTTTTCTTGGTAGGAGAAATCAGTAGTAGTGTAATTTTATATTAAAACATTTCTTAGACTTTAGCAAAAATAAATAGTGATTTAATAACTGAGAAAGAGAAAGAAACTTGAAAGTAACGGAATGTACTTCACCTAGTACCGATATCTGTAATATCTATCTTTATGTTTAGCTGCTATATAAAACGTTTTATTCTACGACGCCCTTTTCAATCCCTAGAAAAGAGTAGAGATCTCTATTCTTTTGGTATTAAATTACTTTTATTTCAAAATTCTATACTTAATAGCACTTTTGATTCTACGCGTATTTAACTGAGTAAATATCATATAACTCAGTCAACAACTGATAAAAGGAGATTTAAGTAACCCATGGCCGTCTTAACAACCTAAAATATAATATATTTATGTTAATTGCTATTCAATTCGACAAAAGAAATGGTATAATCTCTGCAGTATAACGATTATAAGAAATTTCATACTTGCAGACATATTTGAAATAAGAAAGATGCACTTACTAAACATAAAAATAAGGGAAACGAATTTTCTGAACAAAAGCATTACTTACGGCCCCGAATGTCTTAAAGGATAACTCCACATAATTTCCTGCTTTAAGTTTTACTGGTTTATTTGACATGAGCATGATTAAAATTAATGCCCGTGCTTCTGCCTCCGGAAAAACGTGCCAATCTAACGTAGCCGCCGTTAAGGCTACCTGGTCTCCCTAGTTGCAAATGAATGATATTTAAAGAAGAAGCATCGCGATATTTGTCCTCTCGACTAAATGTGATATTATCATTGTCGCAATATATATGTGCAAGAGTGAATCATATAGTTTAATCTACCTTTTCAGAGAGCTGCTCACCAATGAAACAATAAACAAATATGTTGAAGGTCATAGATATCAGTGAAATAACATACGTATACATGACTATGGTATTACTGTCCTCCCATTCCTGTAAAGAGAAGCAAATTATATTATTTATCATTTGATAATATCGTTATATACACATGCATATATTTTATTTAATGATTTTTACATACCATGATAACATAATATATAATAAGGCATAACATAAAAGTGCACGTCATGACTTCAAGTAGACTCGAAAACTGTATAACGCTTTGCACCATATGCAACAAGCTGGAAGTCATCGTAAGACAAATGTAAGTTCCGTCCTCCGGAAATTACCGGATATACTTTACAAGGTAAAGTATTTATTACACTAAAGCTCCATACGACGCGTCTTCAGTTAATACGATAATAACAATAAATATATGTACTTTAAGTATAATGAAGATATTAACACAATCGTAATCAAATGTACGTGCTGATGCATGCAAAAACAACAAATGTTACTTTCGCGTTCTTATTTGATGCTCCACAATCACTGATAATTTTCTGTTCACATCCCCAAGTTCGTGTTCGTTCGTCAAGTTGTTCATTAATATCATCAAGATGTCCAATTGTGCGACGATGTGCATCGAAAAGAGTGCTGCAATGCCGCAAGCTGCCACTGTGATTGTGTATTTGAAAAGGCCTGTGAAAAACTGTACGAAAAACACAATCTCGTAAGCTGGACTGATCTGCGGATCGAACAGTACATAGTAAGCAGGAACTGGCAAGAGTCTAATCGTAATGTTCTGAGCAGTGACAATCTTTCCTCTTGCTAACGGTATGATTGTTCGATATGTCATCCCGGAGCCATATAGGAATATACCGCACAGTATAAATAAACGTCTGCCGATTCTCGTGTAGAAGAGCATTGTGTTACGGGCAAACGGACTGGTGACACTTTGAAAATCCTTCTCGACATACGCCATGCAACTCCTCATTTGATTCTTTACGTACAACAAATTGCTGTATTTTAGGATTGACACAATCGTGAATAACACAGCTGCCGATAGTTTAATTCTCGCGCGAGTCCCTTTTAACACCATTAATACGTAAAGAAGTATAGACGTTAGTTCAAAAAAGAGGAGGACATAAAAACCAAAGATCAACACCTTCTCCAAAATTCGCAGAATCCAAAAACTCGTGTTCGTGTATGGCCAGATTCCCAATAAACGAAGAACGAATCGATTCAATTTATACGTATAATTTATGTCACGTTCATAATTTTTATTTTTGTACATCGCGAATATCTTTGACATAAAACTTTATATCGGAGCCCTTGCGTTTGCGGTGCATAAAAAGTAAGGTGACTCGAGAACGACTGATTCTTCTTCTCCTCGTCTGGCCGCATCGAGCAGAATTTGTACGTGCGCGCGCTTGCGTGTTGCAACAATTGAAACGATACGCGGAATTAACAATATATGCGTAGCAACTTTAATGGAAATCTCACAAGCTAGTCTATTTCAGTATTACAGAAGGAGAAAGTTCTTCTAGCTACATTTCAAACATTGAACAAGTTGAATTTCTACGAGAAAGGTTTTTTATTGATACCGCACCGATACCAAACGGCCATTGACTTCGAACAGAATATCGACCTTACAAATGCGATTCGTAAATGCGTTAAGGGAAAGATGTGTAAATATATCTCTTTTAAAAAATATTATAAAATGTAGACCTATTAATATTTCTGTAAATAATACATTAAATTCAGATAAATATTTTCCTATGAAAGAGCTGTTCTTCACAACTTTAAATTCTATTCTTCATTAAACGTAGGAGACATTTACGTGCTGGATAAAATAGCAGCGATTGGTTTCACGTTCTGCAAAAAAATAATTCACAATAACAGTAAACAAAACTCGGTTTTTTCTTGATAGGAGAAATCAGTGGTAGAGTAATTTTACGTTAAAACTTTTCTTAGTCTTTAACAAAAATAAATAGCGATCCTATAACTGAGTAAGAGAAAGAAACTCGAAAGTAGTGGTATATATTTCACATAGTACCGATATCTGTTACATCTGTTTCTATGATCGGCCACTATACAAAAACGTTTTATTCTATAACGCGCTCTCTCATCCCTCACAAAAGAGAAGAAATCTCTATTCTTTTATTATTTTTATTTCAAAATTGTATACTTAAAAGCACCTCTGATTTTCTACGCGTATTTATCTGTGAAGAAATATACATTTATTTGTGAGTAACTCAGTCAACAACTGATAGAAGTAGATTTAAATATCCCGTGGCCGTCTTAACAACCTAAAATATAATATATTTACGTTAATCGCTTTTCTATTTAACAAAAGAAATGATGTAATCTCTGGGGTATAATGGTTATAAGAGTTTTCGTACTTGCAGACATACTTGAATTTAGAAAGTTACACCTACTGCATATGAAAATAAGGGAAACAGATTTTCTGGACAAAAGTATTACTTACGGACCCGAATGTCTTAAAAGATAACTCCACAAAATTTCCTGCCTTGAGTTTTACTGGCTTATTTGACATAAGCATGATTAAAATTAATGCCCGTGCTTTTGACTCCGGTAAAACGTGCCAATCTAACGTAGCCGCCGTTAAGGCTACCTGGTCTCCCTAGTTGCGAATAAATGATACTTAAAGAAGGAGCAATGCGATATTTGTCGTTTCGGCTAAATATGATATTATTATTGTCCCAATATATATGTGCAAAAGTGAATAATGTTGAATCTACCTTTTCAGAGAGCTGCTCACCAATGAAACAATAAACAAATATGTTGAAAGTCATAGATATCACTGAAATTACATACGTACACGTGGCTATAGCATTACTGTCCTCCCATTCCTGGAAAGAGAAGCAAAATATATTATTTATTATTTCATAATATCGTCATATAGGTACATACACATATATTTCATTTAATGATTTGTACATACCATAATAACATAATATATAACAAGGCATAACATAAAAGTGCACGTCATGACTTCAAGTAGACTCGAATATTGTATAATGCTTTGCACCATATGCAACAAACTGGAAGTCATCGTAAGACAAATGTAAGTTCCGTCCTTCGAGAACAACCGGATATACTTCACAAAGTAAAGTATTTATTATACTAAAGTTCCATACAACGTGTCTTCAGTTAATACGATAATAACAACAAATATATATATACATACAAATATATATATACTTTAAATATAATGCAAATATTAACGTAATCATGATCAAATGTACGTGCTGATGCATGCAAAAACAACAAATGTTACTTTCGCGTCCTTATTTGATGCTTCACAATAACCGATAATTTTCTGTTCACATCCCCAAGTTCGTGTTCGTTCGTCAAGTTGTTCATCAATACCATTAATATGTCCAATTGTGCGACGACGTGCATCGAAAAGAGCGCCGCAATACCGCAAGCTGCTACTGTGATTGTGTATTTGAAAAGACCGGTGAAAAGCTGTACGAAAAACACAATCTCATAAACCGGACTGATCTGCGGATCGAACACTATATAGTAAGCAGGACTCGGTAAGGGTCTAATCGTAATGTTCTGAGCAGTGATAATCTTCCCTCTTGACAACGGTATGAGTGTTCGATACGTCATCCCGGCGCCATACATGAATATACTGCACAGAATGAACAAACGTCTACCAGTTCGCACGTGGAAGAGCATCGTGTTGCGGGTAGTTGGACTGACGACACTTTGAAAATCCTTCTCAATGTGCGCCATGTAACTCCTCATTTGATTCTTCACGTACAATAAATTGCTATATTTTAGGATCGACACAATCGTGAATAACACAGCTGCCGTTAGTTTAATTCTCGCGCGAGTCCCTTTTAACACCATTAATACATAAAGAAGCATAGACGTTAGTTCGAAAAAGAGGAGGACATAGAAACCAAAGATCAGCACCTTCTCCATCTTTCGCAGAATCCAAGAATTCATGTTTGTGTATGGCCAGATTCCCATTAAACGAAGAATGAATCGGTTCAAATTATACGTATAATTTATGTCACGTTCGTAATTTTTATTTTTATACATCGCGAATATCTTTGACATAAGACTCTATATCGAAGCCCTCGCGTTAGCGAAGTATAAAAAGTAACGTGACTCGAGAACGACTGCTCCTTCTTCTCCTTGTCTAACCGCATCGAGCAGAACTTGTACGTGCACGCGCTTGCGTATTGCAACGATTGAAACGATACGCGGAATTAATCATTAACAATATATACGTAGCAACTTTAACGGAAATCTCACAAGCTAGTCTATTTTAGTATTACAGAAGAAAAATAAAGTTCTTCTTGCTACATTTCAAGCATTGAACAAGTTGAAGTTCTACGAGGAAGGTTTTTTATTGATACCGCACCGATATCAAACGGCCATTGACTTTGAGCAGGATGTCGACCCTACAAACGCGATTTGTATGTACGTTAAGGGAAAAATGTGTAAATATATTTTTTTGAAAAATATTATAAAATGTAGTCCTGTTAATATTTCTGTGAATAATTCAGATAAATATTCAGTAATTAAATTCAGATAAATATTTTTCTATAAAAGAAGTGTTATTCGTAATTTTAAATTGTCTTTTCTTCATTAAATGTAGGAGACATTTACGTGCTGAGTAAGGCAGCTACGATTCGTTTCACGTTCTGCAAAAAAATAATTCACAATAACAATAAACGAGACTCGGTCTTTTTCTTGGTAGGAGGAATCAGTGATAATTTTACGTTGAAACATTTGTTAGACTTTAGCAAAAATAAATAGTAATCCTATAATTGAGTAAGAGAAAGAGGCCTATTCTATAACGTTTAATGATGTCGTTATGTATCGCTGTGCAGTTATTTCATAATACAAAAAAATCTGTCCAATGATATATAACGAAGTCGTTAAAAGTTATAGAATATACCTCAAAGAAACTCGTAAGTAGTGGTATGTATTTCACATAGTACCGATATCTCTAGCATCTGTTTTTATAATCAGCCACTATACAAAAACGTTTTATTCTATGACACGCTCTCTCATCCCTCACAAAAGAGAAGAGATCTCTATTCTTTTATTATTTAATTATTTTTATTTCAAAATTGTATACTTAAAAGCACCTCTGATTTTCTACGCGTATTTATCTGTGAGTAAATATTTATTTATCTGTGAGTAACTCAGTCAACAACTGATAGAAGTAGATTTAAGTATCCCGTCGCCGTCTTAACAACCTAAAATATAATATATTTACGTTAATCGTTTTTCTATTTAACAAAGGAAATGATGTAATCTCTGGGATGTAATGGTTATAAGAGCTTTCGTACTTACAGACATACTTGAATTAAGAAAGTTACACTTACTGCATATGAAAATAGGGGAAACGGATTTCATGAACGAAAATATTACTTACGGACCCGAATGTCTTAAAAGATAACTCCACAAAATTTCCTGCCTTGAGTTGTATTGGCTTATTTGACATAAGCATAATTAATATTAATCCCCGCGCTTTTGCATCCGGAAAAACGTGCCAATCTAACGTAGCCGCCGTTAAAGCTACCTGGTCTCCCTAGTTGCGAATAAATAATTTTAAAGAAGAAACATCGCGATATTTGTCGTTGCAGCTGAATGTAGTGTTATTATTACCGTAATGTATGTGTAAGAATGAATCATATATTTTAATATATCTACCTTTTCAGACAGCTGTTCACCAATAAAACAATAAACAAATATGTTGAAGGTCATAGATATCGCTAAGATAAGATAAGTACACGTGGCTACAGTATTATTGTTCTCCCATTCCTGTATAGAAAAACAAATTATATTATTTATCCTTACATAATATCGTCATATACACACGGATATATTCTATTTAATGATTTTTACATACCATGATAACATAATATATAACAAGGCATAATATAGAAGTACACGTCATGACTTCAAATAAACTCGAATATTGTATAACGCTTTGCACCATATGCAACAAGCTGGAAGTCATCGTAAGACAAATGTAAATCCCGTCCTCCGGAAACTACCGGATATATTTTACAAGGTGAAGTATTTGTCATACTAAAGCTCCATACGCGTCTCCAATTAATACAATAGTAATAACAAATATATATATATATATATATATATATATATATATATATACTTCAAATATAATGCAGATATTAACACAATCGAGATCAAATGTACGTGCATGCAAAAACAACAAATATTACTGTCGCGTTCTTATTTGATGCTCCACAATAACTGATAATTTTCTGTTCACATCCCCAAGTTCGTGTTTGTTCGTCAAGTTGTTCATTAGTACCATCAAGATGTCCAATTGTGCGACGATGTGCATTGAGAAGAGAGCCGCAATGCCGCAAGCTGCCACTGTGATTGTATATTTGAAAAGACCGGTGAAAAACTGTACGAAAAACACAATCTCATAAGTCGGACTGATTTGCGGATCGAACACTATAAAGTAAGCAGGACTCGGCAAGGGTCTAATCGTAACGTTCTGAGCAGTGACGATCTTCCCTCTTGCTAACGGTATGAGTATTCGATACGTTATTCCGGAGCCATACATGAATATGCCGCACAGTATAATTAAACGTCTGCCGATTCTCGTGTGGAAGAGCATCGTGTTACGTGCAATCGGACTAATGACACTTTGAAAATCCTTCTCGACATACGCCATGCAATTCCTCATTTTATTCTTCACGTACAACAAATTACTGTATTTTAGGATTGACACAATCGTGAATAACACAGCTGCCGTTATTTTAATTCTCGCGCGAGCTCCTTTTAACACCATGAATACGTAAAGAAGCATGGACGTTAGTTCGAAAACGAGAAGAACATAAAAACCAAAGATTAGCACGACCTTCCCCAGTTTTCGTAGAATCCAAAAATTCGTGTTCGTGTATGGCCAGATTCCCAATAAACGAAGAACGAAACGGTTCAATTCATACGTATAGTTTATGTCACGTTCGTAATTTTTATTTTTGTACATCGCGAAAACTTTTGCCTTAAGATTTCATATCGGAGCCCTCGCGTTCGCGAAGTATAAAAAGTGACTGGACAACGACTGCTTCTTCTTCTCCTCGTCTGGCCGCATCGAGCAGGACTTGTACGCGCGCGCGCTTGCGTGTGTAACGTTTGAAATGATACGCAGAATTGTAGCAATATGTGTAATTGTAGCAATAGCGTATGTGTAGCAACTTTAACGGAAATTTCACAAGCTAATCTATTTTAGTATTACAGAAGAAGAAAGTTCTTCCAGGTACATTTTAAATATTGAGCAAGTTATAGTCCTACGAAGAAAGGTTGTCATTGATACCGCAACGATACCAATCGACCATTGACTTTGAGCAGGATGTCGACCTTATACACGCAACTTATATATATATATATATATATATATATATATATATATATATTAAGAAGAAAGTGAGTAACTATATCTCTTTTAAAAATTATTATAAGATGTATAAGAACGTGTATAAATATTTTTATGAATAATAAATGAAATGCAAATGAATATTTTTCTATGGCTAATAGCGTTCGCTTTTTGAAGTTAATTTTTTTTTGTTACATGGAATGCACGTTTTCCTGCTAGATAACATATTTCAGTTGGTTTGATGTTCTGCAAATAACAATTACCCATAATAAAAGTGAGTCAGGTTTTATCTTTGATATTGCAAAAAAGTCAGACATATTTTCTTCCTAACATTTTCTCTATACACTGACTAAACAATATATTATAAATATGCATATTGTGGAGGCACACGTCATGAGTTCTACAAAACTCGAAAAATGTGAAACGTCTTGTACCATATACAATAAACTGGAAGTTATCGTACAACAAATATAAGACTTGTCCTCCAAATACAATCACATATATATTTCACAAAATAAAATATTTATCATACTGAAGTGCCATGCGATATACATGATACATTAAAATAACAACAAATATATTTGCTTCAAATGAAGTAAAAATATTAACATAATCGAAATCAAATGTGCATGTTAATGCATGCACAAACAAACAAATGTTACGTTCGCATTTTTATTTGATGTTCCACGATGACAAATAATTTTCTGTTCACATCCTTATCTGCGTATTTGTTTGTTAAGTTGTTCATATTATTGCCATCAAAATGTCCAATTGCGCGATGATGTGCATCGTAAAGAGCGATACTGCAAGCTGCCACTGTGATCGTGTACTTGAAGAGACCTGTGAAACTTTTTACGAAGAACATAATCTCATGAATCAGACTATTCTGTAGATCGAACACTATATAATAAGCAAGACTCGGCAAAGATCTAATCGTAATAATCTGAATGATGATCTTTTATCTTGATATCAGTATTCGATATGTTATCCTGACTCATAAATAATCCCATACATAAATATCCAGTACATAAATATATCACACAAGATAAATAAACATCTGCTCCACGATCTTTTCAACCCCCTGCAAAATCCAAAAATTCGTGTTCTTGTATAACCAGATTTCTAATAAACGAAAGAGAAATATATTCAATTCGTACATATAGTTTATGTCGTGTTCGCAATTTTTATTGTTGTATATTGTTAAATATTTTTGACTTGCAAATATATATCAGTACTTTCACGTTCATGAAGTATGAAATGTGACTGAATAGCGAAAGTTTCTTCTTCTTCTGCTTATCTGTCCTTGTCTGTCCACAAACAACTTGTATCTTTATTTCCCTCAAATTTTTTCTTTCCAAATGGCAAATCTAGACCACTGTTATTTACTAGCCAATGTTAGTACCATCCATAATTGTTTATTTTCGCAAAATGTCATATCATATATGATATTATATTAGAAGACACAATATATTTTTAATTAAACTAATTGTGTACCCTTCAATACATCCTTGTACTATCTATAGCTCAAAAACAATTACATCAATAATGTACATATTTCTGAATAAAATATAATATATAACTACAGGCATTATAGCTGCACAACTTTTTAGATATTCAGAAACAATAAAACTTATATCACTTCTAAACTTGAGAAAACAGCAATCAAGCTTCGTTATATGCTACGCTATGAAAAAAAGTACTCAAATGTTTCTTAATAGAATATAGCATCATACACAATTAAAACATTAATAGCACGTATATTTATATTTTTATCCATATTTAAACTTTCTATTCTAAAGCTTACCGCGTATCGAAATGATTACGATCTACTCTCTTGACTCTAACCAAAAATAACGCGTTTAACTTCTTGTTGCTTGCATTTTAAAAACGAGGAAAACACTCTACTTTTAATATAAAATTACTTTTATTTCAACATTGCATATTTAATATTACTTCCGACTTTATGTTTATTTAATTCAAAGTAAGTATATTCAAAGTAAGTAGAATTCAGTCAAAAACTGTTCGAATAATATTTAAATATCCCATAGCCGTTTTAACAACCTAAAACAATAACCTTATGTTAATCGCTTTTACATTTAATAAAAAAAATCAGTATCTCAGATATAGGAAATATAGAAGAAACGTATTTACATTAAAAAATTCACATCTTCTACGTATAAAAACAGAAGGACTGTATTCTTTAAGCGAAAATATTACTTACAGACCCAAATGTCCTAAAAGATAACTCCACGAAATTGCCGGCTTTAAGTTTCATTGGCGTATTTGACATAAGCATGATTAAAATTAGTGATCGCGCTTCTGCATCAGGAAGAAGGTACCAATTTAACGTACACGCTGTCAAGGCTACCTGATCGCTCTAGTTTCGTTAATGAATGACAGACATCAGAGTGACGTTTGAGAAAAAGCATAGAAATAAATGTTGTTTCGATTAAATGGCATTGATTGAATTGCAACAATTCGTGGGAAAGTAGAACGGATTAAACGGAGCAGTAAACTCAAATACCATTTTGCGAAATGCACAATAGTTTTCGAGTAATTAATTATTTTGTCTGAACAAATAAGTGCACGGGAAGCGGCAGCCGAAAGAAAGATGTTATTTACTAGCCATATTTAAACTACTTCGGTCGGCGCGCGCTTATTTGTTCAGACAAAATAATTAATTACTCGAAAAGTATTGCGAATTTCGCAAAATGGTATATAAGCTTTCTGCTCCGTGTAATCCGTTCTATTTTCCTACGAATTTTTTTAAGAAAGGTTTCGGACATTCTGTATATATAAAAGAAAGTATCACACAAAAAAACCATACTTACCTTTTCAGAGAGCTGCTCTCCAATAAAACAATATACAAATATGTTAAAAACCAATGGAGAGAGTATTATCAAGTACGTACACATAGCTAGAGAATTGCTGTCCTCCCATTCCTGTACAAAGGAACAAAATATTTTATTCTATTGTATCGCATACACACGTACACACGTTACACAATAATTTTTACGTACGACAATTATACAATATATCATAAGGCATATCATGGAAGTACACGTCATGAGTTCTATAAAACTCGAAAAGTGTATGACGTCTTGCACCATGCGTAAGAAACTGGAAAATATAGCAAGACAAATGTACGTTTATTCTCCGAAAACAATCAGACATACTTCACAAAATAAGATATTTGTATACATAATTGACACGTAAAATTTTATCATATATAAAATAATAACAACAAATACATATATTTCAAAGGTATGTAAATACTAATATAATCTCGATCAAATGTGCGTGTTGATGTATGCAAAACTAAACAAATATTACTTTTGCGTTTTTATTTGACGTTCCACGATAGTAGATAATTTCTCCTTTACATTTTCAAGGTTATATTCGTTCGTTAAGCTGTTCATTAGCATCATCAAAATGTCTAATTGCGCGACGATATGCATTGTAAAAAGAGCTGCTATGCCGCAAGCTGCTACTGTAATCGTGTACTTGAAGACCCCCAGGAAACACTGTACGAAGAACACAATCTCGTAAGCCGGACTAATATACGGATCAAACACTACATAGTGACCAGGACACGGCAGTGGTCTAGTCGTAACGTTCTGAACAGTGACGATCTTCCCCCTCACCAACGGTAAAAGAGTTCGATACGTCATTCCGCCAGAATACATAAATATACCGCACAAGATGAACAATCGTCTGCTGATTTTCGCGTGGAAAAGCATCGTGTTACGCATAGTCGGATTAACGATATTTTGAAAGTCCTTCTCAACACACGCTATGCAATTTTTCATTTGATTTTTCACGTAAAACAAATTGCTGTACTTGAGAACTGTTACGATCGTAAATAACAAGCTGGCCATAAATTTTAATTTCGCGCGAGGACTATTCAGAATCATGACTATATAAAGAACCATAGACATAAGTTCGAAACAGAGAAGAAAGTAAAAAATGAAAATCAGCACGTTCTTTTTCAGCTTCTGTAAAAGACAATACTTCTTGTTTGTGTACGGCCAGACGCCCAATATGCGAAGAACAAATCGATTCAATTCGTATGTAAAGTTTATGTCACGTTCGTAATTTTTATTGTTGTACATTGTGAAAAGTTTTCGACTTTTAACTCTGTATCGATAATTTAGCTTTCATGAAGTGTAAAACGCGATGTCACGAAACGACTGCTTCTTTTTCTTCTTGTCTGTTCACCGCAAGCAGAACTTAGTACCTACGCGCGCTTGCGTATTGCAACGATTGAAATGACACGTCAAGTTGATCATTAACAATGTATGCGTAGCAACTTTAACGGAAATCTCGTAGGCTACTCTATTTTTGCTTGATATAAGAAGAAAGTTTTTTAACTGCTTTTCAATTATTGAACGTAGAGAAGGGTTGTCATTGATACCACTACGATATCAAGTCAAGCCATTGACTTTCGAAGGATGTTGACCTTACAAACGCACGTTTAAAGAGAAAATAATATTTAGTAA